GAACGTTATGGTGTACTGCTTCCAATAAAAGGAGGGGAGGGGCAACGTTTATTTAAAGGTCGTTCATGCTACCCAAAAGATACACAAGAAACGTAAAACTCATTCCACTTAAGAGAGATTGCTACACGATTCATAGATGATAATAAGGACATATACTATATGTAGCATTTTTATTTAAGAAATTTTCAATATATTACCTATTTTAAAACAAATAAATACACCATAAATCTAAACCACCAACAACAAAAATTCAAATATTTACAAGCTTCGGTGCAATTTCTGAGAAGACCTCTGGGCGTCGCTGTAGGTCAAAAGAAGAGAAAGACCGTTTCCCAGACGCGTTTGGAAGACTAGGAGAGTAACTTCCTGTGCAAAGCAACCATAGAGGAGAAGCCATTATAAATCGGGATGTAGCAAACAAGCCCCCCAAAAGTGGTCCTAGCCGGATTCAGCCACTAAGGGAAGACTTACCCTCCCCGACAAAGAAGCACAGCAGCACGGCGAGTCAGGAGGATGGGGCGGGGCTCTGGGAGCGGAATAGCACGGTGGTTGCAGGTACTGTCGCCCTTCCTTCTGCTTTTGTTCTGCGGAGCTCTCCCCGATCAGATCCGCTACTCCATTCCCGAGGAGCTGGCCAAGAACTCGGTGGTAGGAAACCTCGCCAAAGATCTGGGGCTGGGTGTTCAGGGTCTGCCCACCCGGAAGCTGAGGGTCAGCGCAGAGAAGGATTATTTTGCTGTAAACCCAGAGAGCGGAGATTTACTTGTGACAAACAGGATAGACAGAGAGCAGGTTTGTGGGAAGCAACCTCTGTGTGTTCTAGAATTCGATATTGTCGCTGAGAAGCCATTAAATATTTTCCATGTAGCTGTAATTCTTCAGGATATAAATGACAACGCCCCTCAATTCAAACAGAGTGAGGTGGATTTAAACATTGGAGAGTCCACCAGACCAGGTAAAGCATTTCCATTGGATCCAGCCCTGGATTCAGATGCTGGTTCTAATTCACTGCAAAAATACTATCTCGGTGACAACGAATACTTTGAAGTCACAGAGAAGGAGAGCCCAGATGGGCGTAAATATCCTGAGTTGATTCTAAAACGTTTTCTGGATAGAGAAGAGCATAATTTTCACCAGCTGGTCCTCACTGCTGTGGATGGAGGAGATCCTCCCCAAAGTGGCACCGCTCGGATTCGAATCCAAGTCACAGACGTCAATGATAACCCTCCAGTGTTCAGCCAGGATGTGTACAGGGTCACCCTTCGGGAGGATGTGCCACCAGGCTTCTCGGTGCTTCAGGTGACAGCCACCGACCAGGACGAGGGCGTCAACGCAGAGATCACTTACGCTTTTCACAATGTGGATGAACAAGTAGAACGTCTTTTCAACTTAGACAAGCAAACAGGAGAAATCACGACAAAGGATAATTTGGATTTTGAGACTGCTAAGAGTTACTCCCTGAATGTAGAAGCAAAAGATCCCGGAGACCTAGCATCCCACTGCAGTGTCCAAGTGGAAATTCTGGATGAGAACGATTGTGCACCCGAAGTAATTGTGACTTCGGTATTTACCCCCCTACCGGAAGATTCTCCACTAGGAACAGTTGTCGCCTTGATAAAAACGAGGGACAAAGACTCTGGAGAAAATGGAGACGTTTACTGCAACGTCTTGGGGAATGCAGCGTTTGTATTGAAATCTTCTTCGAAGAATTATTACAAACTAGTGACAGACAGAACCCTAGACCGGGAAGAGATTCCAGAATACAACGTCACCGTTGTAGCTACCGACAGGGGTAAGCCGCCACTCTCCTCCAACGTAATCATCACCCTCCATATCTCAGACGTCAATGACAATGCACCCGTTTTCCACCAGGCCTCCTACTTGGTTCACGTGGCTGAGAACAACCCACCTGGAGCCTCCATCGCTCAAGTCAGCGCCTCTGATCCGGATTTGGGATCCAATGGTCAGGTCTCCTATTCCATCATAGCCAGCGACCTAGAGCCAAGGGCATTGTTATCATTCGTATCCGTGAACCAGGACAGTGGAGCGGTGTTCGCGCAGCGCGCCTTCGACCATGAGCAGCTGCGCTCCTTCCAGCTGACACTGCAGGCGCGTGACCAGGGCTCGCCCGCTCTCAGGGCCAACGTGAGTATGTGCGTGCTAGTAAGCGACCGCAACGACAATGCACCACGAGTGCTGTACCCCACGCTCGAGCCCGACGGCTCTGCGCTCTTCGACATGGTACCGCGGTCCGCCGAGCCTGGATACCTGGTCACTAAGGTGGTGGCGGTGGACGCAGACTCCGGACATAATGCCTGGTTGTCGTACCACGTGCTGCAGGCCAGTGATCCCGGACTCTTCAGCCTTGGGCTGCGCACTGGCGAGGTCCGCACAGCGCGTGCCCTGGGCGACAGAGACTCTGCGCGACAGCGCCTTCTGGTCGCTGTGCGTGATGGTGGACAGCCACCGCTCTCCGCTACAGCCACGCTGCATCTGATCTTCGCTGACAGCCTACAGGAGGTCCTGCCAGACCTCAGCGATGACCCTCTGCCATCGGACCCCCAGAGTGAGCTTCAGTTTTACCTGGTGGTGGCCTTGGCCCTGATCTCAGTACTCTTTCTTCTGGCGGTGATTCTGGCTGTTGCTCTGCGCCTGCGATGCTCCTCCAGCTCAGCTGCCTGGGGCTGCTTTCAGCCTGGTCTCAGCTCCAACTCTGCCACTGGAGTCCTCCCCAACTACAGTCAGGGGACATTGCCTTATTCCTACAATGTGTGCATCGCCTCACAGTCAGCTAAGACAGAGTTTAACTTTCTTAATGTGACTCCAGAAGTGGCTCCTCAGGACCTCCTCTGTGACGACACCTCTTGGATACCAGATACTCTTGGAGACACTGAGGTTCCTTTTGTCTCGGATTCTGTCCCAAAGGTGAGCTTCAATTTAGTTCGCTTTTCTACTTATGGTTCAGTATTTCTTAATAAATCACTAAGTGGTTTGGGGTGGTTTTGTTGAATATTTCATTTTGTTGTGAGCCTTGACCAATGTTCTGCCTTAAATGCAAACCTTATCCAATCACATCTTACAGAAGGGTTTCTACCTTGGGTGTGCAGTTTGCTTACCCGTCATTACAAGTGTTCACAGCACTGGCTACTTCTTTTCCTTCCTCTTTACATTCCTTCCCATCCCCAAAGCTCATCACTCTTGGAAACTTACGAGGTTCTTTTCATGCCAGAGCTCTCATACTCAGATTTGGGGTTCTCTTAGATCCCTGGCGATTCAGAATAAACATGGCCCTTGTTTGTGATAATCAAGTTTGTGAAAATCGAATGTGAAAGAAACACATCCCCCACGGTGGTGGCTTGTTATCAACGAAGTAAGTTGGGTGGGGTAGTGTTCAATTGAGTTTGAGTCGTGAGTTTCTTACAAGCAGAGTGTCTTGGGGTTCCTGGATGCTTTTTCTAATTTATGAAAATCTGGGGTTTTTATGTGTATGGGTGTTTTGTTGGCATGTACGTCTGAGCGCCTGTGCATCTGGTACCCACAGAGACTAGAACATGGCACTGCATCCCCTGGAACTGGAGTAGCAGATGGTTGTGAACCAACATGTGGGTGCTGTGAATCGAATCCAGGTTCTCTGGAAGAACAGTCAGTGTTCTTAACTGCTAAGCCATCTTTCCAGCTGCCCCCCAGGTTTCTTTTCAATGGATGAGCAAAGTATGAAACCTAAAATGTTCGTTATGAAGAGTGAATTCTATTAGTACATGTGAGATAGCATCTTCATGAACAACTTGTTCTTAAGAAAAAACACATGCTAAGAAAAAGTTTACAACCTTGCTTACGTCAAGCTACAAAAATATCTAAATTTTTATGGTTTGGGTCATTTACTCACTTATTCGTGTATTTCCTTATTGATGGTATAAGGATCAAGGTGGGGTCTCATGCTTCCACGGCAAGCGCTCTACCAACTGAACTGCGTCTCAGTCCCTAGATTATAAAATTATATAAACAAAAATATAGGTCTCGATTAAAATCTTTTCCTACTGATGAGTTATTAGGTAAGAATTGTTTTATCTCGCGGAAGGGGCTGTCTGAACTGTCTCTTGTTTTCTGCCATGATTTTTCTTTTCATATGTTATTCTCCAAGACTGATGGCATTAAATATCTCCTCAAAACAAATAGGCCACTCACCACTGCTGACTCAATACCCATCACTTCCTCCTTGAGAGATAAATGAAGTCCCGTCTCCCACGGTCACTATACTGGTTGCTACCAAGATCCTGTCCCAATGAAATGTCCACAGGTATTTTGAATATAGGAATGAGAAGACATAGCAATGCAGGTAGCCCAACTGTCTGAGATGGTGACGTTGTTTATAGCCTTAGATTGGAAATTTGAAAACTTTATCGAAAACATATGGGCAGTTCTGCAAAGATACATTGAGAGCTGGGATTGTTTCCCCAGCACACTAGTATAATATTAGGCAGATTTTTATAAACCTATCCTGATAAAAATGAAGTCTTGACAACAAAGGTAGGAATTTCAGTTTCTTGGCTAAACAGATTCGATGTGGGTAAGATAAAAGGACTCAGTGGTGCATAAAATCAAACTTTTCTGGAGAAGTAAAATAAAACTAATAACTTGATCTCAGGTTGTGGAAGGCTTATTGTCAAGATTAAAACTTTACTAAATATAAACACTGATGCACAATAATGTGTTAAATACAGAACAAAAACCTTGGGAATGAAAATAACAGCTAAACTAAGAGGAACTAAAAATAGAATTGGTGTAGTAACCGGTTAGGACTCTGGGCGTCGCTGTTCACCAGACTGGGAAAGAAGCTATCTTAGAAACGATAGGCTCCCAGCTTCCTCCGCATTAAACCGAGACCAGACAAGCTCCTGGGGAAAGCAACCCATCCCAACTCCCGCTCTCCTCGGCTTCAGAGAAACAAGGAACCAGCGGGCTGACCCAGGACTAAGAGGAAAGCGAAGGAAGAAAAGACAATGGCGGATCCACCGAGGCGCTGGAGCTGGAGCTGCAGCGACCTGCTAAAGTTCTTCATGCTGCTGGGGACGCTGTGCGCGCCAGGTAAAGGACAGATCCGCTACTCGGTGCGGGAGGAGCTGGACAAAGGCTCCTTCGTGGGCAACATCTCCAAGGACCTGGGGCTCGAGCCCCGCGAGCTGGCGGAGCGCGGGGTCCGCATCGTCTCCAGAGGTAGGTCGCAGCTTTTCTCGCTGAGCCCGCGAGGTGGCAGCTTGGTCACCGCAGGCAGGATAGACCGGGAGGAGCTGTGCGCCCAGAGCGCGCCCTGTCTCGTCAGCTTTAACATCTTGGTTGAGAATAAGATGAAAATTTATGGAGTAGAAGTGGAAATTCTTGATATTAATGATAACTTCCCCCGGTTCCGCGATGAGGAGTTAAAAGTCAAAGTAAATGAAAACGCGGCTGCAGGAACAAGGTTGGTACTCCCCTTCGCGAGAGACGGGGATGTGGGTGTCAATTCCCTCCAGGGTTACCAGCTCAGCTCCAACCCGCACTTCTCTCTGGATGTGAAGAGCGGATCTGATGGGCAAAAGCATCCAGAGCTGGTGTTGGAACAGCCCCTGGACCGTGAGAAAGCGTCTGCTCACGACCTGGTCCTCACAGCCTTGGATGGTGGAAACCCGGTACATTCTAGCACTGTCCATATCAGCGTGACCGTCCTCGACGCAAACGATAACGCACCCCTGTTCACTCAAAGCGAATACAGAGTGAGTGTTCCAGAGAACATACCTGTGGGCGCTCGACTCCTCACACTCACCGCCACGGACGCCGACGAGGGAATCAATGCGAAATTAACCTTCTCTTTTCGCAACGAAGAAGACAAAATTTCCGAGACTTTCCAACTCGATTCTAACCTGGGGGAAATCTCAACTATTCAATCACTGGACTATGAAGAATCCAGATTCTATGTCATGGAGGTGGTAGCCCAAGACGGAGGCGCTCTTCTTGCCAGCGCTAAGGTGTTGGTCACAGTCCAGGACGTGAATGACAACGCCCCAGAAGTAATACTGACCTCCCTCACCGGTTCCGTTTCTGAAGACTGCCTACCGGGAACCATAATAGCGCTCTTTAGCGTGCACGATGCCGATTCTGGGGAGAATGGAGATATTTCGTGTTCTATTCCCAGGAACTTGCCCTTCAAACTGGAAAAGTCCGTTGATAATTACTATCACCTATTAACAACGAGGGCACTGGATAGAGAAGAGACTTCGGATTATAACGTCACAGTGACCGTTACTGACCATGGAACGCCTCCGTTGACTACAGAAAACCACATCTCTCTGAAAGTAACAGACATAAATGACAACCCACCCACCTTCTCTCGCTCCTCCTATTCCACTTCCATCTCAGAAAATAACCCCAGAGGTGTCTCCATTTTTTCGGTGACTGCCTATGATGCGGACAGTGGTGATAACGCTCGGGTCACTTACTCCCTGGCTGAATATACATTTCAGGAAGCTCCTGTATCCTCCTATGTCTCCATTAACTCTGACACTGGTGTCCTGTACGCATTGCAGTCCTTCGACTATGAGCACTTGAGAGACCTGCAGCTTCTGGTAACAGCTAAGGACAGCGGGACTCCTCCGCTCAGCAGCAATGTGTCACTGAGTTTGTTTGTGCTGGACCAGAATGACAACATTCCTGAGATCCTGTACCCAGCTATTCCTACTGATGGCTCCACTGGTGTGGAACTGGCACCCCGCTCTGCCGAGCCTGGATACTTGGTAACCAAAGTAGTGGCAGTGGACAGAGACTCCGGACAGAACGCCTGGTTGTCCTACCGCCTGCTCAAGGCCAGCGAGCCAGGGCTCTTCTCAATTGGGCTTCATACAGGTGAGGTGTGCACAGCAAGGGCTCTATTGGACAGAGATGCTCTCAAGCAGAGCCTGGTGGTGTCTGTCCAGGACCATGGCCAGCCCCCTCTCTCGGCCACAGTCACACTCACTATCGCTGTAGGGGATAGCATTCCGGATGTACTGACTGACTTAGGCAGCGACAACTCTCCGTCAGAGGCCCAGGATTCAGATCTCACACTCTACCTGGTGATATCAGTGGCAGTGGTGTCCTGTGTCTTTCTAGGATTCGTTACTGTGCTGTTGGCCCTCAGGCTTAGGCACTGGCACATGTCACGCCTGCTTCAGACTTCCGCCGGCAGACTGGCCAGCGTGCCTACCTCTCATTTTGTGGGCATGGATGGGGTACAGGCTTACCTTCAGACCTATTCCCATGAAATCTCCCTCACTACAGACTCCAAAAAGAGCCACCTGATCTTCCCCCAGCCCAACTATGCCGACAGGCTCATCAGTGAGGAGAGCTGCGAAAAGAGCGAGCCGCTGCTGGTACCTGATAGTAGTCACGCCAGCCAAGGAGAGCCCGGAGCTGCTCAGGTTGGTTGTCTCTTTCACTAAGAACTAGAGCGTTTTCTTCATTTGTCTTCTCACTCATTTTTCTGGCAGAGTCAAAATCAGGTAGTTATATGGTGAATCATCATTCGCTGTATTGGAGTTTAACTCGGTTTTGTTCAGTAATGGATACTTTTCAAATCGTATTTGGGACTGGATATCTTTTCTTAGTGTGTGGATATTTTAGAAAATCTAGCTGCTGACAGCAGGCTTACCTTAAAAGAAGTTGATAAACACGATCGTTTTCCGTTAAAATGTTACTATTTTAAGGATAGCTGTTCGTTACTAAAAGAGCTGTTGTATTAGTTCAATGTTACCTGTATTGTTCCTTTTGGGATATTTGTCTACACCCTATTAGTGGACATGTTTTGTAGGGGTGGTGGTTTGAATGAAAACAGTCCTCATAGGCTCACTTATATGAGTGCTTTGTCACCTGGGAATGGAAATATTTGGGAAGGAATAGGAGGTGTGGGTTTTTTGGAGTAGATGTGTTCTAGGGTGGGCTTTGAGATTTCAAAAGCCAAGGTCCAGTCTCTCTCTCTCTCTCTCTCTCTCTCTCTCTCTCTCTCTCTCTCTCTCTCTGTGTGTGTGTGTGTGTGTGTGTGTGTGTGTTGGCTACTGCTCCAACACTATGCCTATGTGTTTCCCACCATGATGATCATGGTATAAAACTCTAAAACTGTAAGCAAGCCACCCCAATTAAATGTTTTCTTTTAGCTGCACAGCTATAGTGCATGTCTTTAATCCCAGCACTTGGGAGGCAGAGGCAGGTGGAGCTCTGAGTTCAAGGTAACCGGGTCTACTTAGTGAGTTCCAGGACAGCCAGGGCTACACAGAGAACCCCTGTCTCAAAAAAAAATTGCTTTTATTAAGAGTTGCCTTGGAGGTGATGTCTCCTCACAGCAATGGAACAGTGACTAAAACAATAGGTGATACTGTGTGTGCTTTATATTTCAGTATATTTGTAGATAATGACTTACAACTTACATTACTTCCACAAATCAGTGGACAATAAGGAAAACTTTTGCTCAGTTTCTATCAGAAATATAGATTAGGCCAGATGGTGGTGGCACACGCCTTTAATCCCAGCACTCAGGAGGTAGAGCACTCTGTAAGTTGGAAGCCAACCTGGTCTACAGAGCCAGTTTCAGGACAGCCAAGGCTGCACAACAAAACCCTGTCTGAAAAAAAAGGAAGAAGAAGAAAAGAAAAATATATAGATTCAATTTATACTGATGATGAGATCACAACATTTTAAAATCAGAACAGTCTGGCTTAACTAACGCGTGTAATTATCGCATGTGTATCTTCACTGAGAGAATAAGTCGGTGAGAAGTAACCTTAGCATTTTGTTTTATTCTGTGACATCTGTTAATGTCTCCAAAGAGTCAATACTGTTGTTTTCAACCAGTATTAATGTGCCATTCCCCTGGCATCTGCTGGTCTCTGCCAACTCCCTTACCAAAATCAACGTCTCTCAGAATGTTTACATGCTCCCATGTGTAAATGCAAATCTGCTTTGTTACAGGAGTATAAGAATTGCATTCGAGAAAGTCAAGATGACTTAAGAATGTGTTCGTTTTAAAGTTAAGTTCTTAGGGATGAGCTTATTTTAGGTTAATAAAGTTTTCTTAAAGAAACTCTTGTTTCTGAGTCTCAAATCTCAGGAGCATGATTGTGTGAGGGAATCACTACTCAATTCATTTTCTGCACCTTTCCATATGCCCTTTGCTGACTGACACTGAACCTCACCAGGTAAGCTAGGTTGTCTGGCCAGGAAGCCCCAGATATCTCCTTTCTCTGCCTCCCCAGTACTAGGATTATGAGCACTTGGCAGTATGCCAGTTTTTTTAAAAAAAAAATGAGTTATCAGGATTGAACTCAGGTCTTTACACTTGGAAATCAAGCACTTCATTGACTGAGCTATCTCCCATCCCCGTTTTCACTACTTTTAAAGAAAAAGTTTGTGTTTGATTATGTATCTGGAAACAAGCTTCGTGCAAAGGAGAAACATCCTTTAAATCTCTCTAAACATCTAATAGGTGTTACATTATAAAATGCTTGTTCTATATGCTGTAAGTATGAGTACCCTATATACTTTATATTCTTCTAAGTATTAGTTGTATGCATGTTAGGAAAGGTATCTTTCCCATAAGAATGGGGTACTCATACAATAATGGGAAGGCACTTTGTTTGCGTATGTTTTGAGAGTCTTGCTTCAGTGATTTTTAACATTTGGAAAGTACAGATGCTAAGACAATGGAGATGGCTCAATCAGTAGAGTGTTTACCATATAAGCACTCACTAAGGTTTGAGAGATGGCTCAGCATTTAAGAGCACTTGTTGCTCTTGCAGAGGACCCCGGTTGGGTTCCCAGCACCCATATGGCAGCTCACAACTGTCTATAACTCCAGTTTCAGGGGATCTGACACCCTCCTCTGGCTTCCACAGGTTCCAGACATACACATACAAGCAGACAATACACCCATATACATAAAATTAAAATAAATAATTTTTAAAAGAGCTCCCAAAACCCAAGTACAAACAAAAAAGCTGGATACATGTCTATAACCCCAGTGCTGGGGAAGCAGGAGTGATGAAGACAGGAAGGCCCCTGGGACTTACTGTCCAGGCAGACTAGCCAATCAGTGAGATCCAGGTTCAATGAAAGACACTGTCTCAAAAAAAAATAAGAGTGATATAAGAAGACACCTGACATCAACCTCTCACCTCTGCATACCACCACCAAAATAATAATGATAATAATAAAAAGACAATGAATGTCTAGAATCCCGGGCATAATGAAGAGTCTAAGATACTTTAATGCTTTGTGAGATCATGTTGTTGTACACCTAACAAGTTTTAGACTAACAATATACTGCATAAGTTAAAGATATTTTTCTTTTGTGCGCTTCATAATTTGGAAATGTAATTAAAACTCTAAGACACCAGCTTAGAGTAGTGATGCACACTTTTCATCCCGAACTCTGGAGGCAGAGGCAGGCAGATCTCTGGGTTTGAGGTCAGTTTGATCTGCAGAATGAGTTCCAGGGCAGCCAGGAATATACAGAGAAACCCTGTCTCAGAAAAAAAAAAACCTGTAAGGCACATATTATGACTATTGAAATCAGCATGTCTGTTGACTAGCAAAGAATGTCAGTTAAAAATGTTTGAACGAGTTGGGTGCGATGGTGCACACCTTTAATCCCTGCACTCAGGAAGCAGAGACAGGCAGATATCTGTGAGTTCAAGGTCAGTCTTATCTACACAATGGGTTTCAGGGCAGTCAGAATCACGTGAGAGACCCTGTCTCAAAAAAAATGTTTAAATAATTCTAAGGTAAACTGGGGACCAAGGAAAAATCTATTATCTTTCTTTCATACATTCAGTTATAAGTATTCATATCTTACCTCCCAATTTGTCATTGATAATCTACTTTGGAAAAATACTATTGAGGACAATTGTACTGAGATAATAAACAATATACTATTTGTGAATTATTTTTTATTGCATGAGAACTCATATATGCATATGAGTTTTGATCACTCCCCCTTTCCTCCCTTTCCAATTCCTCTTCTAATCACCGCCACTTTGTCCTCCTAACTTTTTGTGATCTTTTAAAAAATAACTTCACTGAGTCCATTTAGTAATTCTTGTAATTCATGTGTATACAGAGTAATCCACTGAAAAATGGGTAGCCTCTCAGAGTCACATCCCTGAAGAAAACTGACTTCTTTCCCCCAGTAACCATCAATCGAAACATTTATCTAAATGGTTCTATTATTAATAAAAACTCAGGAGTCAGACAAGGATGAGACTGCTGATGCCCCTCCTCATCCACGACAGTATTTTGGTTGGCTTGATCTTGTGTAGGTCTTGGGCATGCAGTCTCGGCAGCTGTGAGGTTTTTTGTGCAATGGCGTCGTCACGTCCAGCAAATACTGTTTTGTTACAGATGTCTATTCTTTGTATTACATTCTGTCTCTATCCTCTTCTGTGATGACCTCTGAGCTGTGGAGGGAGGGACGCAGTGTCCCATTTATAGCTGAACTCTCCATGGCCTCTTATTCTCTGCTTGTTGACCATTATGAGTGTGTTATCTACTACAAAATGAAACTTCTCTGGTGAAGATTGAGAGATGCACTAATATATGAGTATAAGGATAAACAGTTAAGGGGCAATTAGTTATTATGTTTTATTAATGCCAATAACTTTAACCAACCATAGGTTTTGTCTCAGTTCATGGTATCAGGAATGAATTCTTTCTTGTGGGCAGGCTTTAAATCCAACCAGGAAGTGGTTGGTTACTCCCATAAGATTCATGCCACTATTGCATCAGTGATAGTCTCTTGTCAGGCAAGTTGTTATATAATCCACAGGATTCATAGATGGTGAAGGCTGTATATGACTTCTCTCCCTTGACATAGAACCTTCTAGCACTTCCACCTTACAACTAACCAGTAGGGATGAAACTTCCAGGTAGGTACCAGCTTGATTTTGTCATGTCCTATGACTCAAATGTGTGGTATCTTCAGCAATATGGTTTTACCCTCAAGTTCTGGTAAACTAATTTTTAAATCATGCTTATTTAATTAAAAGTAAATACTTGGAAACAGGAAAGATAGTAACTTCTTACTATACAGTTTTATTCTTAAAAAATTATCAATCTTTTTTGCTTACTTTTTGGGAGAAAGATGAGATGAGAAAGAAAATATTTTGTGCATGCCTGCAGTCTCAGTACTGAGGAGGCCAGAGCAAGAGGAAGATGGCAAATTCTAGGCCAGCTTGAGCATACATCAAGTTCTAGTTCCAGATCAGCCTGAGCTATATAATGAGACCCTATTCTCTCTTCCTCTCTCTCTTTATGTGTGTGTGTGTGTGTGTGTGTGTGTGTGTGTGTGTGTTCAGAAATAAAACAGGACAAAAACTAAGAGCTATGGGATTTAGAATTTTCATAAGTTAAAGTAAAGAGGAATAAAATGAAGTTTTATAGCACCCACCAAACT